CACAAATAAAAACCAATGTATTATTTCAATTGATCTTGATATTTTAGACTGACCGGAGGCCGTATTTCTACAGTATCAGCATGCAGCAGCAGTGAGTCAGAATTATTACGGCAATGGTAGTATTAATTTCAACACGGCCTCAGCTACGCATAGTCAAACACCAATCCATATTCTTTGATGTGGCATCACGGTTTAACTTGCTCTATCCATTAAAGGGTAAGAATACACAGACCGTGGCAGAATTATGTTGCTAAGTCTTTGCTGACCACGGGTGGCCGGGTATTATGTGCACTGATAACGGTAGCGAGTTTTTCAATGACGTTATGGAATCGCTAGTACTCGTATCAGGCGTATACCATAAGAGCGGTGTGCCATATAAGCCGCAAACGCAAAGTGCGAATGAAACGCGCCATAGAAAACTTAAGTTCTTCTTGCGTAGCATTAACGGATGATGCAAATGATTAGCCGTACCACCTTAAGTGGGTACAAACACAGATGAACGAGTGTGCTGATCCTGTTGCAGGAACAACACCCGCTCACTATTTTCGTGGAGTGAGTTACAAATCGCTTTTATAAAGGACTGGCCCGATCACCATAAGTTACCATGATTAGAGAAGGTCCAACGTATTTTCAACGTTGTATATCCTTGCTTGCGAGAAATACACAATATAGCCTTATTAAAAAGGCACAAGTGTTTGAACACTAGCGAGTATCAGGTTGGTGACAAAGTTAACATCCGTCAACGTAATTCCGATGCCACTGTATTAACATCTAAATGTATAGGTACATATATAATCTCTGTAGCAGATACTAAAAGTGGAACGTACGAGGTATATAACCCCGATGGTTCTAGTGCGCTAAATATAGGCACAAGTCGTATTCCGAGTACAGAGATTATACTCGCAAGAAGACATGACTCTAATTCCCCTCTTGATCGTTTTGAATTTAAAGACATTATATGGAGAACGGATAAGGGAGGCAATACATACTATCGTATACGCTGTATAGATGGTACAATAGCTGAGTTGACTTCAGATGCTTTCGATAATCAAGACTATTTAAAAGCCTTTAATCGAAAATGGCGCAAACGCCTGCATAAGTCACAAGCTGAAAAATAAAACATGTTTCCATCGTCTGAAGCAATGGAAGTTAAAACTTATCCGCCTACAAAATTTATCCCGAGCCTTAATGTTCATCCTTCATATGTGCTTAAGACACTGAAGCGTAAGGAACGTCCAGTCGACCACCACGGACCTACTGGACCTAAGCCCAAAACTCCACAGAGTAGCCGAGAACACTTAACTTCTCCGCCTGAGAAACATTAACTATATGTTATGCTACTTAATGTTTCGACCCGTTTTTCCTTGCTCGATTTTTGACCCAGAATCAGCTTGCGTGAGTAACTTGCTTCTCTTGGGTCTCAAAGCTGGGTGGGGGCCGTACTCTAAATAGTACGAGGAACTTAGGTCTCCTAAATGTGCTCTTTATAGCACGAGAAACTTAAGTTTCCTAAAATGGTTTCAATGGTTTTATTAATTAAACCTTTTCCGTTTAACATATCAGATATTTGGATGAGGCCATTAAAAGGCCTCAGTAAAATACCAAACATAAGAGAGTTGGTCTAGTTCTATTAATAGAACTTTATTTACTTTCCAATTTTATTTATATCTGAATACTTCGGTAGCGAGATGCAATCCCTCAGAGTATTGCTGTTTTCACGAGGCAAATCTAACTTTATTAAACGTCTCACTTCGTTTATTTGTATCGATATTTACACGATATAGAATTTACCTACGCGTATAATTATTCTAAGGCATTAGTATCGCCTTTATTAATCAAATCTTACAGGTGTCAATGACTATACCAGTCTTTGTTAGGTGTCCTTCCCGTTTCAATCTACTTATGTACTCAAATTCTAACGTATCTGTCCGAAAGTCAACATAGTTTGACTGAGACGTGCGTACATCCGCTCTTCCATCGCCATCATCAATACGCTCAAGATCGGGTGCGTTTGATTCCAGCATAGAGTATCCGCTATCATTTGCGGTTCCTTGTGATTTACGAATAACCCTAAATATATATATATATATATA